GCAGGGAGTAGATGAGAACGCATGCCTCCTTCAGACAGACTGTTTCCCAAAGAAAAGGGGCTCACGGTCAAGTATGCGCAGTTCCTAGTTCAACAAGCAGCTGAGTCACTACTTCCTTTAGAAAGGAGTGAACAGCAAAGAAAAATGAGCTCATCCATCTCTGTTCTTCTGGGATTAGTGGGTGTGATTAAGAAGGTCACAAACTCTTTGACATTCTTCCCATTGAGCCCTGGGGCCTATGACGCCTCCTCTTAAATCTGGGCAAGACCATTAGAATACGGGAGAAGGGACAATGGGCCAGCTTTGGGCCTAGGCTTGAAGACTGGTGACTTTCATTTTTCTTGAAACACTTGCTCTTAAAACCCATCCGCCACACTGTAAGGCAGCATAAGCAGCCCTGTGGAAAGAAACTGAGACCCTAACTGCATTCCCAGATGACGGCATGTACCAATTTAACAGCCACGTGAAAAAGACCTCTTGAAAGAAATTCTCCAGACCCCATCAAGTCGCTCCCCTGTATTATTCACCAAGCCCTGCCAAAACTGCTCATTCAGGATTCTAAGCCACCAATCTGTGGGGTAGTTTGCTACGAAGCATTAGATAACCACGACCCAGAAGACATTCCTTCCCCTCTCTGGGAAGTGAAAGACAAAGAAACCCTCTCCCTCACAACCTAGCCCACGTTAACAAAGGGGCTGGTTTTATTTTATTTTAAAACCCATTCTGGAAATCCAAAGCTAACAGTAACTTCTCTCTCTCTGTACTTTTTGGTGGATAGCAATTATCTTAACCAGTCATCCCCCACCTCACACACGGATTATTATTAGAATACAAACATGCTGTAATATTGTTCCCACTTTAACAGAAAACAAAAGGCAAACTTCTACACCACCACCACGCCGCCCTCCCCAGCTTCTGCCCCACTTCTGATTCTCTTTACTTCAAAACTGTGCCTCCTGGTATTGCCTTGGTCCCCAAGTCACGACTTCACCCCACCACTCTAACCCCCTAGTTGTAGCCATGAGGATCCTTCCCTTTCCTAAATCCAAAGGTTAACATTCAATCACGATGAGTACTTGAAGCAGCAGCACGTAACAGTCCATTATAGCTGCCTCCTCTAAGTTTCTTTACTTGCTTTCAGGACCTCTGTTGGTTCTCACCCCATGACCTGTCATGACCTGTTTCATCTCCTCTGCAACTCCTCTGATTGCCCTATAAACATCTCCACCTACGTGTTCGATCGAGTACATCCAACTTAATGTGTCAAAACCAAACTTCTGATTTACACTCTTCCCCATGTTTCTCTGCCTTGCTTGACAGACTCCTCTCTTGTCTTAACCTCATACCTCTATTATTAAAGTCTCTACCTTCAAAACATACTCCAAATCTGACTACTACTTATACCTCCTCCACAGCCACCAACGCAGTCCGAGCCCCTGTGATGTCTCCCCTAGATTATTACCTCCTAATAATCTCTCTGCTTCCACCCACCTTCCCCTAGTCCAGTGGTTCTCATATAGGAACTTATAAGAAATGCAAATTCTCCCCCAACCCTAGAACTAATAATCATAAACTCGGGGGGTGGGACAAAAAAACCCATATGTTAAGAAGTCCTCCATGTCAAGCACCTGAACCACCCCTACCCCACCACCACATCTCCCCAATCTTCTTCCCTACGGTTTTCTCCCTAGCTCACCTTGTCCAGCCACTCCAGACTCCTTATGTTCTACAAGCACACTCAGAACACTCACATTTCAGGGCCTTTTCATTAGCTGTCCCTCTTCCTGGGAAATTGTTCACCCCACTAAAGATATTCAAGTCACTGTTGAAATGTCACCTCAATGAGGTCCTCAAGTCACTGTTGAAATGTAACCTCACTGAGGTCTTCTCTGTCTACCCTATATAAAACAACACCCCCTTCCTGACCTAGCTTCCTTACCGTGCTTAATGTTTCACCAAAACACTTATTACCTGGCAGGCAATACATGTTTTGTTTACTGTCTGGCTCCCTATATCCTACTATCTCCCATGTGAATAGAATCTTGTTTTATTTACTGCTATACTATAAGCAACTAGAAAAGAATATGGTACTCAATAAATGCTCAATAAATGTTGACTTTCTGAGACAATGGTTGCCTTTGAGAAAAGATACAGAGAAACTGAGGAAAACTTGTTCCTCAAGGAACTGCCAAGACAATTTCAGAGCAGAAAAATCAAAGAAAAACAAAATGGCAAAATGCTATAAGGTGAACGGGAAGAACAGAATGCATTAGTTGATGGTAAAGGCTAAGTAGTTCAGGATAAATCAATTGCTGGGTTAGCAATGTTTAGGAAGATCTCAGAACTAAGCCCAGAAAGAATGGCAGGCTTTATATGAGCAGAGCTAACCATGCGCAATACCAGAGAAGGGGAGATTTGCCAAGTGTAGCTTTTCCCAGAGTGTGTTCACTGGACATAGCACTACCTTCGAGAACAGTCAAGCAAAAGAGATGTTCTAGTAGGACTGCAAAAAGCTGGATTAAACAACTTTAAACAGACTTCTTTAATGCAGGACTTATTGTTGACTTTAACATGTTAATCTCTATGAGGAAGTACAATACGCAGTCCTTCCCTGCCTCAACCACACTAACCTTTTTCTGTTATACATGTATATATGTGTATACACACAACCTAGCTTCATTTTTGTCACTAACACATTAATTTTTTGTGTCACTAACACAATTAATCTGTTGTATTTTGTTGTGATTTGCCTATTAAATTAACATAGTAATAATGTCTCCCCAAACAAACGACCCCTTTCATTATTACATTTAAACCAAGCCTGACACCGAAGATTCTGAATACACATAGAGGCCAGTTGTTTATCTGACTGTTCAACATTGCTACACTTTGTTTAGAATATCACAAATATTCTACTAGGGAAATAAAATCCTGAAATATTATTTTCAGCACTCCATTCTTTACTCAACTTGTACTAAGTAACTCAACACAATAACAATTTAAGCATACAGTATTTTAAATGTCTGAATTTTAAGTATTTTGAACCCCTTAATATTTAGATCTAAGATAAACATATTAGAAAGAAACAACAAAAAAAGATACCACCGCAGCAGCACAAACATACCTAAGAGATCGCCTAGCCCAGTGCACCCTACAAGCCTTACTGCCAAATTCATAGAAAAAAGTTATGGCAGAAAAGAAATTATGATGCTGTACTCAAAGTCAACTAGTCATGTACCAAAAAACAAGCAAAGCCCAGGTCACCTACCTTCCCAGTGGGCTACCTTTTAAATATACCACAATACAATGTATGTGACATTTTAACTGGGGAATCTTGAAAATTTAATAAAGAGTAATCGAAAGTGTGATAAAATCTGGGGTAAATCAACTCAGCCTTTAAAGACATGGTTAGTGAAAGTAAATTGAAGACATCTTTTTCTTTCTACAAAAAAGACAAGACAAACCAAGGGTAAAAGCTAGAGATTTATTGTTATTTTGTGATTAATAAATCGTCAAATTGGTTATGACACTATCCCACACCATACCACTATTCACCAGTACAAACGTTTTTAAACCAGACTGAGGCATAGGGCAGAAACAGCAAAGACACACGAATACCATCCTTACCAACCTCCTCTAGTCATGCCTCCACCCTGACCTTTGCATGTGTTTTCCTCCTGGGGAAAGTGTCAGAACAGTGCATGGACAGGTAGGCAACCTAGCCTCTTGACCTTTTTTACTAGCAAGCAACTTACAGAAGTAATGGAATTCAACTTGTATTTCCCTTGATTTTACTGGTCTGCACTCATTTTAGGTTACTTGAACATTTTAATTTCCTGTACTGTACATGAGAGAATATAATGTCCTAAGAGAATACTGAACCAGAGTCAGCCAAATATATTACTGACCCTGAAGTTATGTTTTAATTGGTCCTAAAAGAAAGTACCACCCCAACAGTTTGAGAAGCAGACAAAACTTCTTTGGGGAGAGAAGAAAAAGGCTGTAGAACAGCCGAATGTACTCCACATTGTTAAAACGGCTCTTTGTTTTTCACCCCTGAATGATCCTTCCTTACTACACTAGATGCACAGAAATCCTAACAGAACCTTGGCTGCCAGTACTATTTAGGCTGGCCCAATCCAGGACAGATTCCGTGGCGCCCCTCCCCCTCCCCAATTCCCCTTCTCTGACGCTCTGAAAAGCACAATATTTAACTATTCCTTAATAGAACTACCAAAACACTTCAGAAACAAGTGGCTCACAAATCATTTTAAATTCAGGTATTGCCTGTGCATGAGAAAACCGATAAACCCAAAAGATAGTTCTATTTTTATATGGCAATTAAAAATAACTGAAACATCAAGACACTTTCAGTGAAAGCAACATTTCAATTACAAATTGTAATGCCTGTTAAACTACCTACAGGAAAAGCCGAAAAGTCCTAGGCAAAATGCACTTTTGGGTATACTACAGTGCCCCTTCGGTCTGCACAGAAATTAAGGTAATTACAGTCAACCTGTGAATGTTGAGACAAAGTTACATTATATTGTCCGTACAATTAAATGTCCTTAAAGAAATAACCATCACTGATGTAACAATTTTACAAATAAGGTATGCTCTAAAACAGTGGTTCCAAATTTGAAGTTATTATGTTTCCCGAGTTTAGCTTCACTACTTCCAAATATACACCACCTGACTGAGCAAAAAAAGACAGGCTTACGTAACAATAGATGTTTATCAAAGATGCTGTAAGATTCTATACAATTAGGAAATACTCAGCTTTAGGAGTATTTCCTCAGCTTTACTTTTTGGTTACATGTGTTTTGCTCAGATAACTTATGGCAGTATGTTTCTAGAAATGCAGTCCCAAATGTGCGTACTCTATATTGTATACAAATAAAGCAAAAATTGTCAGTAGTATAAATCTTACAGCATTGTTTGCAAAAATACATGCCAAAGTCACAATAAGCAATATTGTACCACAAATTATAGAGCTCAAATGATTGGCTTTATAACGCTTTATTCTACATAAATTACTACCACAGGCTAATGTTTTAAAAAGCAAATAAACCGGACAGATGCAGAACAATCTGTTCACCCAACTATAAAAGGTGATGTTTTTAAAAATTACAATAAATGCAGAGGTGTTTATGCATGCAGTAGCCTTAAGTGAAAAAGCATTGATTCCCACTGTTCCAAAAAAGAAAAACACAGAAAAACCCACACATCTTACTGAACACCACCTTAAAATGCATCATATTGGGTTTGTTTTTAACAGCACAGAATTCCAAGAGTCAAAATGAAATAAAGCGGGTATTTTAAAGATTTAAGAGCCGTTATCAAAAATAAATTACATTTTTTGAAGATACAGAAATGCTGCTATGATGGCTGGGAGCCCAGTAACCTTTCGATAGCTGCATTGATATCACCTCCTGTTGCTATTAGCGCTTGCAAGTTGGCTTCCCGGTTCAGAAATCCCATTGCACTAAGTTGTTCCAGTTGTTGCTGAAATCTGACTTCTGGGTTCTGTAGCTGTGAAAGAAAAAATAAAATAAAATAATAATCAAACTCTAAAGGACACCAGTCCATGTCACACCAAAATAACTTTTACAAAATCGTAATTGCTATTTTATAATATATGCTGGTCTACTGAGCTTTAAAAGCACTGCCTCTCTCTTGAAACATATCCAACATATTTAAAAGTCCACTAGCGCTTTATTTTATTACTTTAGTCTAGTCTATACCTAAGCAATCATGTCAAATAGATCACATAACTCTGCTTTTAGAAAAGAAAGCTTAATAAATTCCAACCATTATCTTAGAGGCTCATAAACATACAGAAAAACTTAAAAGTATATTTGCAAATAGTTTACAACTAGATGATTTATTTTGTGTAGCTACTGACCAACTGAGTAACTATAAATGCCAGTGTCCCTCTTGAATGAAATTCTACAGTTGCAATAAGGCTTAGAATGTGTATTCGATTTCTGCACTGGCCATTCAATTCTTAGAAAAAGAGTTCCAGTTTCAGTCCCACAAACTATACTCCTAAATCATGACAATTCAGGTGCATCAAATCATTCTTCAGAAATGAGGCAAAACAAAACCATATAAATGACCAGTCAGTCCTGGCCAATCTGATGATGGGGAAGCTTGTAAGGCTATTCAACTTATGTAACAATTAATTCTGCCTAATATCTAAAATCACTTTTTCTTATTAATTCCATGAATATTTACTGAGTACCTACCATAAGCCAGAAACTATGGTAGGTACTGGGAATATAAATATGTGTAAAATAGAACTCTGCCTCGCTTACTGTATTTAGTTAGGCTTGAAGTCAGAAAGTATCCAATAGACCCTGAAACATTTTTTTCCATGCAGAAGTTGGGGGCAACCTACTGTAATAAGTTTGAGCTGGCAATCATCTCTATATAATGGCACATTCATAATAAGGCCAATACATGTTTGCAGATGCAAGAACATTATTAGGGGTCTATGTTTTTTGGCCATATTTGTGAGGTGTATTTATGTAACAAAAGTTACCACACACAGAAGGTGGTATGGTGGTCGGTTAGATGAAGTAGTTAGGATTTTTTTTAAAGTTAAAATACAAAAAGTAGCAAACAGCTGTCCTGGAGATACTTGAGAAAGTCAAGTTTCTATTCCTCCCTGACAATTTTATAAAACAAAGCATATTTCCAATGATTTTCAAATAAGCACTCCAAAAAAGAATGCATTTTTAAAGGCGACTTCTAAAAAATAAGGCATTGGGTTATAGCATTTCTTCCCTACAACTCAACAATATTTCCTTTAGTATCTGATATAGCAAAGTTAATTTTTGTAATGCTTATTTTTAGATTCAATATCCTTAGGACTGTGCTTTTCATTAGTCTAAACACTAAAGAACTGCACTTTCATTTTCTCCTTTTTTCTCCTTTTTGGAAATTTCTAAATTTCTAACATTAAGGAATGCAAAACTTGAAAAAGAACTGTTACCTGAGGATTTACTCCAGCAAGAGCCTGCAGCATCTGCTGAATAAACTGCTGGTGCCCAGGTTCAGCGGTTCCTGTTGTAGGGCTTGTGTTTTCACTGGGTGTAGCGCTAGACCCGTTGGTTCCTGAAGAGCCTCCAGTGCTTCCTATTGCTCCCAGGCCAGGAGTAAACCTAGAGAAAGCAGAGACAAGTAATAAACCTAAGCTCCTGCAAAACTGGATGGAGGCCACCCCAGTACAAGTGAAAAATAGTTATATTTTAACATAATATTAGCTAAGCTATCTTCTTTTTTTTTTTTTCGTGTCTGGCAACGGACCGCAACCCTCAGTGTCGCGCCCGTACCGGACCGGGACTGGCAACGGGATCGCAACCCTCGGTGCTGCGCCCACCCCCCGCCCCGCCCGGC